TGGGACTGCTTGGAAAATGTGCAGACCCTGAGACTTGCAAGGTGGCTGAGGACTTGTTGCAACCAGCAAAAATGCGGGGTTTTCTATGCTCAAAAACCCATTCTCACCCTGATTTGTGCAATCCGGATGGGGAACATTTCTGACACTAACATGCCCACAGAATACTGTTACTCTGTGTGCACAAGACACTCTGGTCAGGATCCAACCATTCAAAGGCAACAATGGGTCCTTCCAGGTCACCTTAACTCTCCATTTTATAGGTGGGGAAACTGAGACCCAGAAAAGAGAAAGGACTGACCCAAGGTCACAGAGCTACTGATGAGACAATACTGAGAATGGAGTTGAGCCTTTCCTTTGCACCACTGGTAACCCACAAATTTGGCCTTCTTAGAAGGGTTGAGGGAGAGGACGGGCTGCAAGAAAGCAACTGAGCCTTTCAGTTCTGCCAGTTGCCCAGTTTTCTGAGTGGAAAACACACAAAGGCTCAGATACCTGTGTGTTAAAGCCAGCTGGGGAAAAGACTTGGAGCCCAGGCCTAGGAAAAAAAGAGAGTTCCTCTATGGAAATTCTTATTCCTTAAGCCTCTAGAGAGCAGGGCAGGTCTTCTCCTGAATGGCTGCCTACTCCCTGCTTGGTGCTGGGGTTCAAATCCCACTTCTTTTCCTCCAGTGCTTAGGCACGGCCTTGGGGGAATGGTGACCTGTTTGGGGTGAAAAGAGGACACAGAAGAACACGCTGCCTTATTTCTCCTATCATCTCTGTGGGCAGAACCCACAAAGCATCTTAGCAAGCATGGCTTGGCGTGTGTTCATTTTTTGCAGTGTCCTTGCCAAGATTCTTGGGCGCCTAGGTTGGGACCTGGTTCATGGTTGCAGAAATGGACTTGAGTGGAATGTTCTTTGTGTATCTAAGAGCAGGAAATGTAAGAAGAGCAGTCAAGAAGGACCCAGTGGGTCTTTGATCCCTTTGCACTCAGGGGTGGTCTCTGACTCTCACTCACAAGGAGGAAACCAAAGGTAACCTTGTGCCTAACTGGCTGAAAGCCAGCGAATGCCTTCTTCCATCTCCATCCTGACTGCTCCAGGCCCAGCACTGGGAAAAGCCAAGTTAAAGGCTAGTTCCTTCTGAAAGACCTTGTTTCCTCTTCTGGATCTGGGTGATTATCCCTAAAGAACATTTCCTCAAGTCTGTTAACATCTAGCCCGTGGGAGGGGAAGTGAGTCCTCCTACGTGATTTTGTTAAGAGTCACAGAGAGTCAGAGATGCTATCCAGTCTAACAACCTCACTTCACTGATGGGAGACCTGGGGGACCTGACCAAGGCCACAGAGCCATCTGGGTGCTTACAGAAGGGCTTCTGTCTCACTCTGGTCCCTGGCTGCCTCACCCAGTGGCTCCCACTGAGTATTCAGAAAATGTGAGCAGAATTGAACTAGACCCAGGCCTTGTCATTCCCAGACAAGTACCTTTTCTTCTAAACCACTTGTTCTCCAATGGGGCCGTCTACGAGAATCACCTGGATCACTTTCAAAAATACTGATGTCTGGATCCCACCTCCACAGATTCTGGTAGAGATTGGTTTGGGTGGGGCCTGGGCACTGGAACTTTCAAACCCTCCCGGGTGACTCCAATGTGCAACCAGGACTGAGAACCACGGATCTAAATCTTGCTGCTTTAAGAGAGTAAAGAAAGAGAACTGCTGGTCTCTTGGGCCATTGTTCCCAGTCTTCCCAGATACGGGCGCCAGGGGTGTGGGTCAAGAGGAAAATGGAGAAGACCTTCAATTCGCCCTTGGAAATGAGCTGTCCATCCCCCACCCTTGAAAGACACAGAAAAGGACAAGGTTTGGAGATCAAGTTAAATGTCCAATTTATTTTTATAACTTGAAACCAGAACAAACTTGGTTTTGAACAAGCGTACAAATGAAATGGCAGACACATGCTGAACTCAACATTGTGACATTAAGGGAAAAAAGAGGCCCAAAATCTTGTACAGAGAATAAAAGGAACAATAAATATTTTACTAAGCCATATTGAAATGACCTCCTGTCATCTCAACATTTTATCCATAATAAAAAAAAAAAAAGTGCCCGTTTCTTAAACAGAGCACAAATACCAAGCAATAATAAATAGTTCCAAACTTGTAGTAAAAGACAGAACCTCCAAGTAAACAACAAAAGCTCATACAGTAAGTAATAGAAAAGGTAATAAAAATATTTCGCCTTGCCAGTACAAATGCAAACAACTTAAATCAATGTAACTTTGCTTTGCAGGGTTGAGATACAAAGAGCACCAAAATCACGGATTTGCCTGCGCGCAACAAAACCTTCGCTACGGACCGGGATGAAAGGCTGACTTCCTTACTTTTCACATTTTGCTTAGAGTGGTTCAGCCTCCTCCTCTCCCCACGGAAGACCCTCTAACGGCAAGTGGCAGGTTCCAGTTTGGGGCAACTTTGAACAAAGTTGTGGCAGTATGGAAACCAGCCTGAGGTCGGCTGGGTCACCCAGGCTCGGGGCCTCTCTCACTGGGTCATCTGCTCCAGTGTTGGCTTTTTAAACATGAAAGAGAAGCATAATGCTCTTTTCTCTGCAGTTGACAGAGACACAATCTTTGTGCTTTAGGATGGCTTAGTCCTGGCATTCTGGTGACTTTGTGGAAGCTGGTGAGGGCTGGCTAGCTTTCGCAACTACAGGAGGATCACCTTGGAGGCTCAAGTACCTTAGCAGGGCATCCGAAGGCAAGGGCAGCCCCTGGGTCTTCAGGACGGGCAGGTAGGAAACTGACATCTCAGCTTTCTCTCCCCTCCTCCCCCTTTCTGCTCCCTTTGCAAAGGTCAGTGGCAAGGAGGGAAGGGTGTACTGAACAGAAAAGCTCCCAGAAGAAAGACTTCTGCATTTGGTAAAGAATTGCCCCAAAAGATGCTTGGTTATACTCTCATAACCTGAAATAATGGTTTTACGGTTCCTGAAATAAAAAATGGCTTCCTGATATAGGGTTTTTTTAAAAAAAAAAAAATGTATTATTCCCTCATCCAAAAAACCACCACTTCATTATCTTAAAGCTACTTGGCTTTACAAAAAAAAGGAAAAAAGAAAGAAAGAACGGGGGGGGGGCTACAGAGAGGGAGAAAGAAATGAAATTGGGTAAAAATGAAAAGGACAAAATAAAGGGCTGACAGAGGCTGGAGGATGGAGAGGAAACACAGAGGAAGGAGAGAGAGAGATGGAAAGGCACCGAATTCATCCCAGGCCCTCGGCACTCGGAAACTGACGGAATGTAGGTTTCAGCGAGAAAAGCAGCAGAGCAGGTAAGAAAGACAACAGGCCGACACTCTCCATGGAATGAAAGGCCCTGGTTGTGACGGGCACTCCTTCCTGAAATCCAATCTGCGCTGGTCTCAACAGCAGCTCACGTCACCTGTGCCTAGCTGATTCACCAGCTCCTTTCACTACATCTTTTGTTTGTCTGTTTCATGTTTTCTCAAGGACTAAAGAAAGCTCCGTTTGCATTCCTTTCTGCTCCTAAGGGCGGGAGACGTGGTGACCCGCCACAGTGGTGACAGTAGAGAAGGAAGATGCTCTCTCGCTCTCTCCTCTAACACCTGACATCTTACAGATGGCCTCTTAGAGAACGAGAGGACTCTGTGAAATACACCGACATCTTTACAAAAACTGGTTTCTCCACTCAACACGAATAAAGAATTTCCCATCCGGTCTGCTGTGGCCACACCAGGGAGCCTTGATGCAAGGTTCGGGGCATTCCGAGAGAAGCCCTGCTCGAACAGTCCTTTGTATAGGCCAATTCTGACAAAAATATATACAACTAAAATGATTTGTGAACCAAAGCATTTAACGACTTCCTTTTGTTTCTTTTCCTCAAAGGTTGTCAAACAACCCTTTTTCTCCTGTACAATAGGACTAAACATACAAATTTTTTTTTGCAATATTTTATCCTGCCAAATTAAAAAAATATATTATGGCAGCCTGTTTGTTTTTGTTTTTTTTTTTCTTTTTATTTCCAAATTCACTAACAAAAAGGTACATTAAATCCCTTTAAAAGGACAAGCTTACAGTTAAAAAATTACAAGCTCCAGTAAAAATACAGCAAGTGCCTACATCATATGAACCAACCAATATATCCATTCCAGAGGGGGCAGGGAGAGAAAAATAAGTAAAGGTCAGAAATGTGATTTTTTTTCTGCAAAGCAATAACAATATTAAGCACTTTTTTTTCTACATACTTTTTCTACATGGTGTAGCAATCCCCTTTTAATCCCCAAATACAAGTTTCTATACATTTTTTTTTTGAAATAAAAATTCAACACCCAAGGCAGAAAAGAATTTACTAAAACTCCGACTTTACAGTTACTGTGACAAGAACAAATTTATAGACCCACCATTTAAATTTTACTGCAACATTTTCAAGGAAAAGAAAAGGGTTTTTTTTTTTTTTCTTGTTTTGTAAAATGCCCAGGCATTCTCGATTATTACAAATACTGGTCCACTTGTACAGTAATCAAGAAATTTTAATATATATAATATATACTAAAACCCCGTCACCAAAAAGAAAACAATATACACGCAGCCAACTGTGGCATTTTTTTATAACCTAGTAAGCAAACTTGGAAAAAAAAGATCGCTCCAACACACATACACACAATTTTTTTTACCCTTGTATGTATCCAATACTGTAAACGTATTTTTAAGACAGAGTGCACTAAATTTAACTTTAGAAAAAAAATTAGCCATTGTTCCTGAATTGTTTGTGTTTTGTTTTTCATTCAACGATATCAACGTGTAACTTGTGTCACTTGAGTTTTAATTCAGCAGTAAATCACCTCCACGCCAAATCTAAGCAGCGTTGTCCCACAAACAAAGGGGGTTGAGGATAATTCAGCTAAGATGTCCATGGTTGTGCTGGGCTTATCTCTTCATTTGATTGGGTCTTATGGCATTTTCATGTCCTCTATCTTCAACCAGGATTTTTAAAAATTTAATTAAAAGTAAATGTGGCTTTGTTTGTGTCTAAAGAATGTACTTTTCTTGTTTTACTCTTTTAAAAAGTCTTTTCATTTCAAAAAAAAAAAAAGTTTTGCATTTGTCTCAAGAGACTCAAATAGGAAGATCAGTTTCCAAGGCACTCACATCAAATTGAATGGCAGTAGAAAAACCGTCCAATAAATTATTTTATTTTGTTCTTTATAGTGCCAGTATTGTGAATGCCAAGCTTAGCAACACTGACACTCAATCTCAGCCGTCCCTTACAGGTTAACCCACCTCTGGGCCAAAGAGAAGAATATGCTGCAATTTCTTGTTTAGAAGCCATTTAATTTAAATGCAAACAAAAGCTTTAAAGTGCGGGTCAACAGAATTCAAATGTCTAATCTTAACAGTCCAATGTTTAGTACCTTCCAACCTAATGGGATAGGAAAAAAAAAAAAATTGGGAAGTAGCGCTGGGCACCTTCGGATGGAACTCTTTCCCTGCTTATCCAGTAAAAGGGAACAGAAATTCGCAAGATTCGCCCACCTGTCCGTACAATGTCATCAGTGTGCATTAAATGAGAGAATACTACCTTCTCTCAGTTCACCTCATTGGGGCACTTGTCTGCTTGAGACATGGTCAATTATCACTGGTAGCAACATGCGACTTGGGATTTCTGTGGTGGGGGGTGATGAAAAGAGAGAGAGACAGAGAGACAGAGAGAGAGAAAAGCCATCAAGCCAGAAGAAGCCTGAAAGAACATGGCTGGTTCCTTCTTTTCTGTGTCACCGCAGGTCACCGCCAGCTACCCAAAAAAGTACCCTCAGCCCATTGTATTTACCCTCATCTACAGCAAAGAGCAAAGATGGCATCCCAGGGCAAGCGGACACTCCAAGAAAAGGACCATATCTGCTGGTGATGCACAACTGTAGGATGCTCTCGGGCCACCTCCCCGGCAGCTCTCAAAAACCCCTATTTCTCTGGCAGTGCTGAGTCTTCCAGGGGAGGAGGGACCTCTGACTCCCCCTCACCACTAAAACGCTTCCTTAGATAATGTAAAGGTTGAAAACACAGGAAAGGCCTCTGTTACTCAGGACATCATCAGTGCTACATCTCAATTCCAATTCTGAAACAAAGTGCTACAACTTTAAAGATTGTTATCCGCTGTACATCCACCCCTCCCCCCCCCAAAAAAAACAGCATGCCACTTTTTATTTCAGGACCAAAGAAAAAAAAGAAGGAATTAAAAAAAAGTAAACAACTTTAAAAGTCATTTAAGTGTTGGCTTCTTGACAAGAAATTACACATGCTTAGCTTAAATCTCAAAAAAGCAGCGCCCTCCCCCCCCCCAAATTATAATTTAAAAGATAAGCTTCCCTTCTATATCGCTTGGGAGTCATTGCTCAGGCTACTACTGGGTTAAAAAAAAACAACAAAAACAACAACAAAAAAAGTAAAACGAAGAAGGGATGGATACCCAACAAAATCTCTTAAAAGAATTTAAACAGAAAGAATAATAATAAAAAGTATCTGCACATGCCAAAAAATTACAAAACCCAATAAATACAGAAATTATTGCACAGTTAAAAGGCTCCACAATATTTTACTGCCTCAATCAACCCTCGGGTTTCCATAGGACTTCGTAGACACAGGTTAGGTTGGAGTGCCGCCTCCCCTGGGCCCCGGGGGCTGGGGGGGGACCCGCGCGGGGAGGGGGACGAGGTGGCGCAGACACGGAGGCGAGTGTCAGGTGAGCATTCTGGCGGTTGGCAACGGGTCCGCTGAACAGGTGCGGGGGCGCCGGGGCGCCGCGCTTAGCTCCTCTCGGCCTGCTCGATTTTGACGTCGTTAGTCAGCAAGTGCTCGCCGTGCCACTTTTTCATGTGTTTCTCCAGGGTGCTGTAGACGCTGAAGGGCATCTGGCAGATGTCGCAGCGGTACACCTCCTTGCCGATCTGCCCGTGCGTCTTCATGTGGCGCGTGAGCTTGCTGCTCTGCGCGCACGCGTAGTTGCACAGCTCGCACTTGTAAGGCCGCTCGCCGGTGTGGCTCCGCCGGTGCACCGTCAGGTTGCTGCAGTTCTTGAACACCTTGCCGCAGTACTCGCACGTGTCGCTGCGCCGGCCCTCCTTGGAGCTCGGCCGCCCGGGGCCCGGGCCGCCCAGGTGCGGCGTGCTGCCCCCGCTGGCCGTGCCGCTGCGGCCCGACAGGCCGCCGTCCAGCAGGTCCCCGGGCGGCGTGGAGAAGCGCAGGCTGCCGTTCTCGGACGAGTGCTCGGACGACGTGGCGAAGGGCGACTGGCGCGCATCCGTGAAGCCCAGGAAGGGGTCCTTCATGAAGTGGCGCGACGCCGCGTAGCCCACGAGCCACTGCGAGTACACGTTCTCGGACGGGATGAGCGCGGCGGGCGGCAGCTCCAGGTCCTTCTCCACCTTGATGCGCTTGGCGGCGCTGTTGAGCCCGGGGCTGGGCAGCGGCGCCGGCTTGCGCGGGAAGAGGCCCGGGAAGGGCTCGGCGCCCGGC